AAAAAAAAAAATCTTAAAACAAAACACCAAACACCAACAACAAAAGATTTAAAATCTAACACATTATAGCAACCAGAAATGGCGCTTTAAGTCAAATCTGCTATTTCAGGATTTGGGAACCCGAGGCGGGAGAAGTTCAAGTTTGAGGCTAGTCTGGGCGGTATTAAACTTGACAGAAATAAAGAGATCAGTCCCTCTATCTATTGCACATAGCTTTTTTGGTATGCAACCCACCATAGTTGCCTTCTGCCAGGAACTGAAAAGTTTATCAGTTTTGGAGTTGACAAAGACTGCTAGGTTAAACTTAAAGTCTGAGCCTTCTTGACTGGGCCTTGAATTTGGCTCCCTCCACCCTTAGCTTTAGGTCTGTCCATCTCAGTTGTACTAAGAAGCCTAAGTTAGTTTAGTGAGAAACTCCCCTGCTCTGGAGACCCGATCAATTCTCTCATCCTCGTCTGCCTATAGCAAGAATTGCTCTTGGTGTGCAATGTTTTCATTCAGTAAACAAGGCACCGATGTCTCCAACTGCTACTGCTACGGATCCCTAGCAATCCAGTGTGTTTGGAGTTATGCTCTCTCTCCCCTCCTGCCAGAGTATCTGACTTGTGTTCAGAGCCCCTGCGCTTAACAAGCATAGGCGAACCTACATGGGCGGGTGTTGACTATCCCGTGGCAAGGGCTCTTTCCTTCCAACCTTGTCCTTACTGTCTCTACCACCACCACTTTACCCTGTCTACCGTACAGGGTACACTACAGACTACACGCTGTATGCCTATCATGGCCTTCGATGTTCACTGCAGTGTTCATCCGTGTGTTCCCACAGTGCCCAGCAGAATGTGGAGCATAAAACAGGTCAGCATCGACTCTTCGCCTCTTTTTCAGAAGCTGCTCAACCCTCTTAATACTCCTTTCAAGACATATGTTCATTAGTAACTAATATTCTGATCAACATAGACAATCCCTATGTTCTCCCTAGCCTCAAGCCACGCTGCCATTACTAATTCCGGCTAAGACTTGCCCCCAAACACAGCAGCCATATCTCACCCATACAGGCATTTTAGTTAGTTGCAACTCAAAGTCTCTCAAAAATCTGTTAAGTCCCAATCCCATTTCCCTATTTATTAGTGCTTCTCTTTATACCCATCCCAGTTAAATTGCTTCTTCGTCTTCCATCCAAAGCAGCAGCCTGTTGATAGAGGTGTTTCGAAGCACGCGTCTATGGTTTGACAGAAGTCTCTTTGATTTTTCACTTGGGTGGTAACAGGAAAAGGAAACCAAATATCTCAGCCATGGGGGAAAAGGGGCCTCCAGGAGGCTGTCCCTGGCCCTGGGTCTCCATGGAGAAGCCACAGGTGCTAATGGAGGTTTGACTGCCTACGCAGTTTGTGCTCTTTTTCTCCCTGAAGCTCCCGGAGAGTCTCCCGCCTACCCTGGGCCTCTTCAGCTCTCCCGTAGCGTGGACCCTGGGGGCAGTGGCCCCTCAACGAGGGGGCGGGGATCCATCCCAGCTTAGCCCGCGCCTGCAGCGCCTTCCCTGTGGGGCTCCCCTCCCCCACCACTGAGCCCCGGTTGCTGCGAGCCACGCGTGGGCACGGACCCCTCCCCGCCCGGCCGGGCTGTGCAGAGCGGGCGGGCTCGGGGTGGCGCTGGCTGGGCGTGGGCAAGCGCGGAAGGAGGTCTGCCAGGACCAGACCGGCCCGATCGGCCCGGGGCTGCATCCCTGTGCACCCGCGGCGGGAAGGTGGCCCCACCGCCCCGGCGCTGGCCCGGAGCCTTGGGGCCCGTGGTGGGCCGGTCCGTACCTGGGCTTGAAGTCGCGGTTGTAAATCGCCCGCAGCCGCTCGCGATCTGTCTCCAGGTCCAGTCCCCGTTCGGCCAGGAAACTCTCGAACCTCTGGCCAGCCTCCCGGAGCTTTCGGCAGCTGAACTTGCTGGGCATCGCGGCGGCGGCTGCGGCCCAGGCAGGAGGGTCCGTGGAAATGAAACTGAAAGTCGCCGCCGCGGTTTAGAGTTGGCTGCTCTGGGGTGAGGGTGCAAAGGGGAAAAGCCCCCTACCTCTGACGTCTGCTCCCGCCAGCCACAGTCTCCCCGCCAGCCACCCCTCCTCCGTCCTGCTCCTACCTGAGCCTTCCTTTCGGGCTCTTCGTCCTATCCCCTCCCCCTCTTCGCATTAACTCTTTCCTAAGGAGTCTGACCCCTCCCTCAGGGCCCTCCCCTTACCCCAAGCTCCCTCCCCTGGCTGGTAGCCAGGATCCGAACGTGGCTATCGCCTGGGGCCCCCTAAACAGCCGGGAGGACCTTGGAGTCTCAACTAGGGCTACTCCCACGCCCACTCTCCAGAGCCTCGGGACTTAGTGAAGAGCAGCAGAGCAAAGGGCAGGGCCCCGGACACGGGTCGGCTGCAGCTGGACTGGGGCCGCTCGTCCAGCACCTCCCCCAGACTGCCAGGGACATAAGCCAGTGAGGAAGCGAGCGGCACGCCCCCTCCCCCATTTCCCTGCTCTGGCTTTCCGACACAGAGAGGAAGGCTGGAGTCAAAGTTGAGGGGTGAAGGGCGAGCAAGTGTCTCTCCAGATAAAGGTGTGTGCGTGTGGGAGAGAAGGGCAAGAGCTGCTGCCAAGAACTAGTCCTTACTTTTCTGGGCCACACAGGCTTCAATATTTCAAGGCTGGAGATTCATGCCCTTGAGCCATGTATTTGGGCTCCTAATTGCACTTCGGTTAGTGTTACTCTTTGCTACTTGTTAGCGGTAAATCAGGGTTGTTCAGTTGTCAAAATATAATTAGCACCCCGAGAGCAAGGTACAGTTATGTCTGGCAAAAAATGGTTAACAGCGGCTGCATTAGAAAAAAGAAATAAGACCAATGTGCTTAGACAAACTAAAGGGGGTGGGGCTACCATAACAACAAATACAAAACAAACCTCTGCACCTATTTACCCCGGGAATGAAAATAGATAGCAAGAAAGATTGAATGTACCAGAGTTCCAGACGTACCAAAGCTTCTGCTGTTCTCCAAAGTGGTTCCCCACAGGAGGCCACACAGTCTAACCTACTGTAGGGAAAGCCCCAAACAGGGTCAAGCTCCTTCTGGGTTAACTCTGTACCTCCCGGACAACCACCAAGAAGGCCAGGAAAAACAGGCCTTAGCAAAAAGAAGTGCCAGGTGAGCAAGAATCAAGGCTACAGGGGTGGGGAAATGGAGCAAGGGAAAATTTCACGTCCTAGAAATCGATTATGTGAACTAGAGAAAAAAACAGGAGAGTAGCCAGACGATGCCACTGTCACACCTCCCCTGTCCCTTTTTACTTAGGAAGCCCCAGAGGAAGAAAGATAACAGACTCTTAAAAATTGTTACTAGTTGGGGGGGGGCATGGTGACCCAAGCCTGTAAGCCCACTTCTTGGGAGGCTGACACAGGGCAGCTATGAATTTTCACAACTTTGGGCTACATGAGAGGATGCTCTCAAAAACAAAATCCAAAATTGCAGTTGCTTACCAATTCAAAATCCTAGTGTCTACCCTTGATGAGTACAATAAATATGCCTTTTAGGCATATAGAAATTGTTTAGGAAAAAGCTGCCAGGCTATTTCTTACAATAGCTTAAGTAGTTAGGAACTCCAATTCATCCAAGGTTCCACCTGATAACCAGAATCCCATGACATCATTTACTCAAGATAACCAGACCCTGGCTCCAGAGAGATCAGCGGTTAAGAGCACTGGCTGCTCTTCTAGAGGTACTAAGTTCAATTCCTAGCAACCATATGGTGGCTCACAACCATCTCATAATGAGATCTGGTGCCCTCTTCTGGCCTGCAGAACACTGTATACATAATATATAATAAATCTTTAAAAAAAAAAAAGATAACATGACAGAGTAAGCAGATACCCCCACGATTCCTAACTAAGCCATTTCTCTACTAACAGTCTTAAAACCGTGCTCATCACATCGCCAAGTCTGACCAGCCAATTTGGCCACCTGAAGATCTCAGCCCTTTCTCTGCTCAGGCCCATCTCCTGAACACAGGTGGTTGTCTGTGTAAAAACGCGGGTAAGCATTTGATGGGGAGTGGCTCTGGTTTGGATGGGGCCACTCTACACGTATCTGGAAGGCTCTGCTTTGAAAGTTGCTGTTTTCATGGGCACAGTTCTAGATGTCTAGAATGGCTCGTCCGCACCCACCAAAAATCAGCTCAGCAATTTCTGGAAGCTTTCATTGCGTCTCAGCTTTCAAGTAGGAAGGTTGATTGCACAGAGTCAGACCCACAACAGCAGCAGGCTGGAAGTTAATGTTAGTGAACCATAAGTGGAATAAAGTCACAGCTTCTCAGGGCAGCTTTGTATTTTCTTAACTTTTTTTTTTTTTTTGGAGATCAGACTGGCCTTGAACTCAGAGATTCTGCCTGCCTCTGTTGAGACTAAAGACTTGCGCCACCATTGTTAGCTGTTTGCTTAGTACTCAGTTCTTTAGGTTCTAGAAATCATCATTTGAAAAGTCTCTAACCTTTGTGTTCAAATTAGATTATACTCCGCAAGGCTACTGGAAACCTGTCTGAAACTAAAGTACTGAAATTGATTAGTCTACCACATACCAAGAGAAAGGCCATACCAGATGCAGTTGGTCTTCATAAGAGCATAGGTTTGCAAGTTTAAAGGGAATCCACAGAGCAGCAGGAAAGAGGTGTCTGTGTCCATGTCCCCAGCTGAGGCAAAGCACTGTGACACTGCCTCCTTGCTTTAGCCCTCATAAACAAGTGATCTATTTAATGTCATGGCTTTTGCCCTTCTGTGCCTTTTTTCACGATTTTACTGCTTAAAAATGGCTCCCATGGGTAACGTTGAAATGTGGTTTAATATTCTTAAGCACAGAAAGCTTTGTAGAGAATGTTGTTACATAGCTTCATTCATCTCAACTATGACAGGGTTGTTAAGTTAGATTGTCTCAAAAGAAACAAGCCCGTTTCATTGACTAATTCAACATTCACAGCGACTTTATACCAACAGCATTGCCCTGAATGGTGAGAGGTGATTATTTTTATGCATAACTCCTCCACCCACCCCCCAGGACCGGGGTGACAGTGATGCTATGCTCTAGTACCACCAGTCTCAGAATGCTTTTTGATACCTTGGATTTGAAGAGGTATGCAACTGTTTTTTTTTTTTTTTTTTTTTT